AGGGATTTTGAACACGTCATTTTTTAATACGTTAGGGGCAATGAGTATGCCCACCCCAGCTCGCCGCCTGTCCCCGCAAGAAACACCGGAAAAGTGGAGCATCCAACCCCTCTCAAGGAGTTAGGTTCCAGAGCCCAAGCTGTGTGTGGACATGAGGCCGACTATCTCTAGTCGGTATCTCTCAACCTCCCCCACGAGCTCGGGCTCCTTACCCCCCAGTGAGGTGACGTTCCATGTCCCAAGAGCCAGATGTGTGTGCGGACTGGGTCGCCGACGTATCCACCTTCGACTGCTGCCCAGTCCTCTCAGCACCTGACCGCCACGGATCCCTCTGTGGGTGGTGGGCCCACAGGAGGGACTGCCCACGTCATCCCTTCGGGCTGAGCCCGGCCGGGCCCCGTGGGCTAAGGCCCGGCCACCAGGCCTGGCTCCAGGGTGGGGCCCCGGCTGCGCCATGCCGGGCGACGTCACTGTTCTTGATAGCATGCTGTCTATGTTGGCTTCCATGCATGTATCGTACTGTATTCAACATAACTAACAATAGTGTGTTCAAACAAATGTTTTAATTTGGTCGAGTTTTTCCCCATTCTGTCGGGTTTCTGCGCATGCGCAAATCAGATTTGGGTTACAGCAGCAGTGTCTTCACAGAAGTCAATGTGACTGCTATCATAACAGTAGCAGTGTGGTTTCTCTGGAGCAGTTGACTGCTTAACACTAGCAAACCCATGGAGGTGCCATTTGGCACTTCTACCTAAAAAGCCCACCACGGTGCCAAATGACTCCAAGGATTTTAGCTAACAAACTAAATCACCTGTGAACGGCCAACTTTGTTATGTAAATAAGGCCATTATCACAGGCTGAGCTGAAGTTGCTCAACCACTTTACTTTGTTTTCTTCGGGAGAGGGAGGATCTGATTAGTTAAAATGAGTTAAATCTAGTGTCATGCTGACTTTAGTTAAAAAATAATAATGAAAATAATAAAGTGAATTGAAAGAAAACAAACGAGCAACGTCATTCAATGTATACATTTACATTGTTTACAAAATAAATATGCTACTTACAGTTTTTCTCAGTGTCTTTGGTGCATTTATCACATAATTCTTCACATTTGCACGACAGTTAGTGCCTTTATCAGAACAATTAGTACAAACTGCAAAACCTTGGGGATAACCTGCAAAAGTGCATCACCTTCTCAAAATGAAAAGTTTATTCCTCAAAAGCAAGTCTTCATGTCGAGGAAACTGTCTGTCTCAAAATAATAAGTCTTAACAACATGGAGTATGAACAACACAGTCAAATGACTTCGTCACGTTTTCATTGTGACACTTTACTCTCTGTGTTTTCAAAGCAAAAAATCTGATCTTGGTGAGCACTGTACAGCTGAAAACTACAGTAAAGTTACACACAACTGTATTTAGTGAGAGTAAAAGAACATTTATACTGTATGTACTGTATGTGTGTGTGTGTTTGTGCATGTATGTATTTACTGTGTGTGTGTGTTTGTGCATGTATGTGTTTCGATGTATGTCTGTGTACTGTATGTCTTTCACATATTTACTGCATATGCTCTTTGCAATTCTACAGCATTGTGCAACAGAAATACAGTCACATACATAGAGCAAACATACAGAATATCATTATGGTAGAACTGTGACGAATGTAAACAATAAAACACACACCTCGTCATGAGTGAAGCTGAAATTCGAAATTAGGAAAGATTTTCTGGATATAAAAAGATAAAGTAATGTATGAAATTAGTTTGACAGATTTTGGTTTTGAACAGTTTTGTATGTGATGACCAAAGCAATGAAATGAGGACTACTGGTTTTACAGAAACTATTCAGTCGTGATAAGTATGTTTCATTCTGATTGACAGGACAGAAGCAAATGATGTTATAAAACAGCAGAGAACTGTATGAAAGTAACTGATACATGTCCAAAAGCATTTGTAAAGTGTTCAAAGGAGAAACTGCCGCGATGATGTCACACACGACTCATGTTGTGGAGGTTCTACCGTAATGATTTTTTGTATGTTTTTCTACGTAAATACTGTATGTGTACTATTTTTGTTGCAGAATGCTGTAGAATTGCAAAGAGCATAAGCAGTAAATATGTGAACATACAGTACATACATATGTATCACTAAATACAGTCACAATGAAAACATGACTAAATCATTTGACTGTTGTTCATAAACACTGATGTCAGGACTTATTCTTTTGAGACACAGACAGTTTCATTGACATGAAGACTTTCTTTTGAGGAATTAAGTTCATTTTGAGAAAGTGACTTTTTAGCAGGTTATCCATGAGGTTTTGCAGTTTGCACTCATTGTTCTGAGAAATGCACTAACTGTTGTTAAAATGTGAAGAATTATGTGAAAAATGCACCAAAGACACTGAGAAAAACTGATTACAAAATATATACAGCGCATTCTCAGGGTACACAGCACATGTGTATCTGTGGTCTCATAGACTACTGTAGTACTCTCTTGCAGCTCTCCCTCCCCCGCACGAATAAACAAAGCCCACCCCAGCCCCCTGCTGTTATAAGTCATTACCTACATTTGCAAATCAATACATGCAAATGTTAGCAGCCAACCTAGCAAGTTAGCTCCCTCTTCTCAAAACAGGGGCCAATTTCGGTTGGGTTTTCTAGTGTTAAAACAAACTTCACATGAAACTCTTACTCTTAAAACCCACTGTTGGGGTTGGTTTCACCAACAATTCTGCATAAAAGGAAGAAAAGACAAAGCGCGTAATCTTTTTACTTATAAGTGAGAAGCGTCACAGAGATCAAGACCCAGGTACAATCTAGTCTTTATCAGTGTGATTCCTACAGCTTCTGGGTTCTCTGTTGGCTTCGCACTCCTCTTATTAAGTTTTCACGCCCCTAGTTACAGGCAAAAAGTCAGCCCTAAAGGCTGACTTGTGGAAAAACATTGAATGTTACATTTGTTACCAACAAGATGGAGGTGCACAGTAGATGAGTCACCGCTTTTTGGAAAGCGCGATCTTCCCAGGACAATCTTTTTAGCCACCTGCTTCTCAAAGAGTGTGATCTTCGCAGAACAATACACATCTATATTACTGTAACAAGGACTGTAAGAATATAAACATGCTTTATATAAAACACTCGCACCTTAGGTTATACTTGTGTTTATGGTTAAAAACAATGATAAAACAGAATGATTATACAATTATTCCAACACCCACATATCACAACATCTGCCCTCAAATTGCATTAAAAGTGACTTTTGTCTTAATTAGTTTGTATTTTAACTTTTAAAGCAATTCACGGACTACTTGTCCGCCATCTTGGTTTGATTCGGCTGCCGTGAGACTACAGTCTATGCGTGAGACGCGCAGCGCAGGTTTGCATTACATCATAAACAGCTGAGGGAGCCCATCTTGACGGGCAGACCAACTCGACAGAACACCTGTACTTCTGTAGCAGCACTTTTACAGTCATAGAAAAAAGTCAGGGTAAAGACATATGTTTACAAGCACTGACCCCGTCCTCAGTCCTGGTTTAGTCCTGGTTTAGTCCTGGTTCAGCTCCTGTTTTGGTTTTTTCGAGCGTGAGTCCCTGTGATCACTTTGCTGCTCTCTGATGTGGAGCGAGGATGTTCGCTGCTGTGAACTGCTGCAGCAGTGAATAGTTTTTAAGGCAGTAAGATCCAAGCTTCAGTGATCAGAGGTCGCACGTGTTGTTTGTTGTTGTTTTGGGGGCATACTGTGGCGTGCGAAAACACAAAACTCCCGTTATCTCTGTCTACACGCAAATGCAGAAACAGAATTTTCAAAAATCTCCACTTTGCCCGGAGGTTTTTTATATATTCGTTTATGATGCATAGTCATGTGGATGACAGGTGCAAACGAAGAAAAATATCTGCAGTTTAGCAAATACCCGGCTACGTGTGGACGGGGCCTGTGAGGAAGCTTCGAAGCATGTAATTTCAAGTTTCTTTAAGCGTGTGTTGGTGCCGTATGTGGTGACGTTCACTCCCGAAGCGGCCGCAGTGTGTGGCGTTCACTGAGGCTCCAGAAACGTGGTGCATGTTATTATAGATCCATGATGTAGTTTGCTTTACAGGTTGCTTTGCGATACGTGGCTGTACCCATCTGGATGTTTGCGTACGTATCTGTGTGCCTGTCTCTGTGTGTGTGTGTGTGTGTGTGTGTGTGTGTGTGTGTGTGTGTGTGTGTCTCACCACTCTGAAAGCTAATACATCTGCTTTGTCCTTGTATATAAACAGATGTGTACTATCCTATTTTCTCTGTATTTTGTACTGTAAATGTGTACGTATTCACAGATATGTATATTCCTGAGCACTTCTATCCAGATTATTCTATTCTCACAAATATTATCTTGTTATCATTCTTATTTTTAGATTGTTACTTTAACATTTTTTATTTTTTATTGTGAAATACTATGCAAGCTACTGTGAAAACGTAATTACCCTGGATAAATAAAGTATGTCTAAGTCTCTCTGTGTACACGTGTCTATGTCTATACATGTGTGATATGGAGCAGTTCTGTACCTAAATATAGCAAATCTTCATATGAAATACAATTTAAAACGTCTTACTTTAATTAATACTTTGTTTCATAAAGTCATATGTGGTCATATCTTATCTGTGGTGAAATCAGACACGTGGATAATGCGTGTGATGTGGAACATGTTTGCTGCGTCGATTTGCATATTGACCCCTAGATCAACGCGTGTCCCATTTCTTAGGGATAATATCCTACGAATGCACCCCTCTATGAAAGGGCACTTTTCTGTTGAGGGTACTCTGAGGGCCCTCAGAATTGGGGTTGAGCCCTTAATGTTATCATCAAATGTCTTCTGTCCTTGAGTAAATCACCGATTCATTCAGGAAACAGACAGTACCTGTGACATGGTAAAGCCTCATCTCTGCTGCAGATTCTCTCCTTTTGCTCAAGGTTGATTTAAATACTGTAGGTCTGACCAAATGTTACTTTGATATGTGTCTCAGGCTGCTGCAACCCACCAGGGGATGTACATGAGTGGAGTCCTCCTACAGATGCAGGAACAGACCAAAGAAGAGGAGAGGAGCAGCCAGAGAAGGCCACACGAGCTGCGGTGGTGGACACTCACCGTGAAGATGGCGTCCGGCGGCTCCTTTGGACTTGGATCCCTGTGAATCACACACAGCATTTAGTTAGTCTGCACAGGGGAATAGCTGATCTCAGATCTGCAAAATATATTGTAGGGGCAATCAAAATTACCATTTTTTTTCCAAATATAACAAATATAACAGTAAACATGGAAGAACCTGTCTCCCTCTTTTGCATTGTGTTTTAGAATTGAAACTTATCCACAAAACTTGAGTCACCACTGTTCCATATCCGGGTGAGGTGGCCCAAGAAGTGACAAAAAAAACTCCATTATGAGCTTCACTCTCAAAGAAGGTTGCATGGGGAGATCATCGTATCCCTGCGCTCTTGGCCCTCCAGAAGAAAATGGAGGACCGAGAGGCCTGACCGTCTATACTCATGAGTCATTTTAAATCAGTGGCACAGGATGGCCTCTCAACTGCTATAGGCCTGAGAATGGGACAACCACCGGACCAGGGCCTGGACAACCCCACACTGGACAAGGGCAAGCATAAGGACCATAGACTGTATATATTAACGGCCGTAGTGACGCCTATCTCCGCTGTTCTAACTAATGGGCCAAAAATTGGGCTTTCATGGAGTGATTCAAAATGGCCTCGGGGGCTGGAATATGTGAAAAAAAGCATCTGCTCATGCGTCAGCCGGAACGAGCTCCATTCATTTAAACTAGTGCCTTCAAAAATTCACAGCGACTAAACTAGACTGTTTAAATTCACTCCCCTCAGCATTGACACACATGTGGAACGGCGCTTTGGGCCAAGAGCCAACTTTTGGACTCTTGGCCCAAAAGTTGGCTCTTGGCATTGGATAAGACTTATCCAATGCTAACACATAGCATCTGCTTACCTCTCGAAAACGTCTTTTCGAGAGGTAAGCAGATGCTATGTGTTAGCATTGGATAAGTCTTATTCCGGGTCCACCCCCATCGGCCAGGGGTGGTATTGCAAGCATGTCAGCGCACATCGTTTTGGCCGCCCCCACTGATAAGGACTACAATCAACCAACATCACATTCTGGTTGTTTGATCTGCTCTGCTCCACACAATTGTTGGCTTATGAAAACCTTCAAATCAAGCTAAGAACACTTAGCCTCTTACAAAGGCTGCAAACACATGAAAGCCTCAGCCTACCAATCCATCTAGAAGGACAAAGGCCCTTACCTTAGCCTTATCTCACCTTAGCCATAGCATTTTAACCATGTATCTTGCAATCAGTGTTTTCTTAGTTTAGTTTTAGTTTTAGTTTAGTTTATTTCTTATTTGGTGTCTTGCACCTAAAGATGCCCAGCCCGTATGGGCTTATAAGACACAAAAATGTAGCAGACATCAGAAAAACATCAAACAAAGAGTGTTCTCTTCCGTTGGAGCCATGCACTTAACAAAAACTTAGACAAATGAAATGGCTTAAACTTGAATAGAAACTTAAGCTTTTCCTCATCGGACAGTTCAAACAAAAGTTCAGCAACATCAGACAGTTTGCAAAATAATTGCCTTCTCAGATCATGGTACAAAGGACAATAAAAAACAAAATGCAATTCATTTTCAATATCATTTAAGTGACACAAACAACATGTCCGCTCCTCCTCTGGGACCGAGTGAAATCGTCCTGTCTCTAGAGCCAGGGGCAGGGTCCCAGACCTCAGTTGAGCACAGACTGACCTCTGGTCAGGTTCAGGGTCACATAGGGCTCAGGACCAAAATGATCCTTTATCAAAACATAAGTTCTCAGTTTTGGCTTACACAAGACATTGATTAACCATTTATGTTTATACTTTTCAAAATAAACTCTTTTAAATTCTCCAACACTACAACGCAACTTGTTTCTGAAAATAAACTGGAGATCAGCATCAGCAAAAATTTTCTCCATCTGCACACTCCAAGCATTTCTATGAGACAGGTCCCATTTAAAGATGTGTTTGGACAGTCTTGAGTCAGACATGTTGATAAACCTATTCCATAACCGTACCATGTCACACACATGCCTTACTTCACATGGTTCTCAACCCAGGTCCCCGTACAGAGCGAGTTTAGGGGTGTTTTTATGAACAGCTAGAAAGTATCTCATAGCTCTGCATTGAACTTTTTCACTGTGCGTCTGTTTAGAGTAACCCCAGACCCCAGCACCATAGTCCAACACCGGGCACACACACGCTCTGTACAGCTCAGTGTAGGTCTTATAACCCAGATCACGACACGCCTTCACTTTATTTATAACAGCACCGAGAGCTCGACCTGCAGATTCAGAGAGTGATTTAATCCCTTCATCAAATGTGAGATGTTCATCTACCATAAATCCCAGATATTTGTACTTTTTAGTAAAAGAAAGAACTGTATTGCCAAAACAAAATGTAATGTCTGATAATGCCTGGGTACTTCCTCTGAAATGCATAACTTGAGTTTTATCAGAATTTATCATCAGTCTCATTTTGTTGCACCAAGCATGAACAATATTCAACATTTTCTGAAGGTCTGATTCCTTTTCGGCGAATAGCACAATGTCGTCCGCATACAACAGAATACAAAATTTCAAGTCTCCCACATTAATGCCCACATCTGCCTCTTTTACTTCATTTACTAAATCATTAATGTATATAGCAAATAATGTGGGAGACAGAACATCACCCTGTTTTACGCCGTATGGTGTTGGGAACCAGTCAGTGAAGTGGTCATTTACTTGAACACAAGAGATTGGATTTTTATAAATAGCTTTAACTGCGTCATAAAATTTACCATCAATCCCCATTTTTAATAACATATAGCCAAGTAAATCTCGATTAACACAGTCAAAAGCCTTCTGAAAGTCTATGAAACAGGCAAATGTAGACTTTCCCTCTTGTATTCTAGCATTTGTTACTGAGATAAGAGAATAAATGTGATCTATACAGGCTCTCTTTGTCCTAAACCCGTTTTGCTCGTCAGCCAGTAGGTCAAGGGATTCCAGGTAACACGTCAATCTCTCATTAAGAATACTGCTATACAATTTGTACACACAACTAAGGAGACTTATTCCTCTATAATTCATAGGCACTCGAGGGTCTGAACTCTGTGACTTTGGAATAGGTTTGATAACAGATTTGTGCCAGTCTGAAGGAATCAAGCCCTGCTCAAAGCAAGTAAACAGTAAATTATAAAGCACTGGGAACAAACCAGGCTGTTTTAGCAATTCATTAGACAAGTTGTCAAATCCAGTCGCTTTCTTAACTTTTAGTTTATCTATTGCCCTTTTGACTTCACTTTCTGTAATATCAAAATTTAAATATGGATTATATGAAAACTTTGCAGAGATTTCCATTTGGACTTTTAGCACCAATATCATTTCAAAATAAAAATCGTCCCACTCAGGGGACACCAAACCACCGGAGAATAAGGCTTTAAATTCAGATTCCCAATTCTTTAATACCATTTTAACATCAAAACAAAAGGATCCATCCTCCAAAACCACTTCTAGTGGTATTTCTTTCTCTTTTCTTGGGCCAAGTTTATTCACCAGACTCCAAAATGATTGGGGGTTATGAGTTTGATTATGTTCAATTTTTACAGCAAGTCCTCTTTGATATCTTCTTTTGTTCGCTCGGAGTCTTTTATCAAATTGGTGTTGTTTATTTTTAAAATCATATTTTAGCTGTTGTTTATTTATGCTATTGCACAGGAGATACTTCTTCTCAGCCAGTCTCACCCCTTTCCACATTGTAGATAATTCCTTGTTCCAGTAGCGTTGATTTGTTGTTTTATTTTGTTTTCTAGTAGTACACTTAAAGGCACACCGCGGACTTTGTGACCTAAAGAGTTGACACATATGAGTTATTTTATATGAATACTTGGGCCAATATACAGCGCTTGACACTTGCAATGCTCCGAGCGGGGCTGCCCTCTTGAAATACCGCCCATGTAACTTTCGAGCAGACGGACCGTCTGCCACCAGGTCACGTGACTTGGAAGAAACACTTGCTTTACGGCTACAGGCGCTGATATACTCATGGAGCTAAGGCTTTTGCTACTCATTTTTCACCTGCTCGACTCCTGGTCATGGCTGAGGCAAGGAAAAATTTTAAACCTTCGGAGGAGGCTAAAAAGAGGAAACGCGAAAGGGATCGTGCTGTAAGCTGCATGTCTGTATGAGCGCTGCTGTTCACCTGGTTCCTGGATGTCATCGACTGCAAAGATGTCATTCCACGCAGCACGAGCTAGACGCAGAACTCCCTCATCCAGGATATAGAAGTCCATGTGTGGTAGATTACTAATGCAGCGGTCTGGAGGCTGACCACAGCAGAGTCTCTCAATATCTGTAGGCATGTCTCTACAGTTTGAACACACACACCAGTGCATGCTGTCTGAATACACACTCAAAAGACACCGGCTGACTGTTTGTTGACTTTTGCGACAGTGCTGAGTTGCTTGTGGCCACTAGGGGCGCTAAACGTGAAAGTTGCAGGTCTAGCGCCCCTAGTGGCCAAGAGTTACACGGTGTGCCTTTAATGATGCCATGAGATTTACCAATATCATACATTAATTGACAAAAATCTCCATACACATCATTCATCAAATGTTCATGATTTACATGGGTCAAATGATCTACTAATTCTGTGACTGCAGACTGAAACCTGTCATTTGTAAAGAGATGATGGGGGAGATTTCTTGTGTTTCTTTGTTTGTATTGTTTAGGCTGAACATTACTTGACACCACAGGGTTTTGCCTTCCTCTGAAAGTTAAAACTAACAGAGAGTGATCAGGCATTTTACAGCGATAGTCCAATAAATCAAAATAAGACACATTTCTGTCAAGAAGCTCGTTTGGACTATAAACATGTAAATTACAGGAGGTGTACAGGCAATCATGAGTTGTGATAATGTAATCCACCACTGCTCTTCCTTTCACAGATACAGAGGTGAAATTATCCTTCCCCAAAATGCGACCATTTAGAACACAACATTTGCTGTCTCTCAAAAAATCAATCAACATTTCCCCTTGAGAGTTTACAATATCATCTATCACAGTCCCTCTAGGAGGAATGGATAAATCAGAGTCACTGATCCAGTCCGCCAAGTGTCCAATCCGACTATTAAAATCTCCACAAATATATACTGTGTCCATTTCAACTAAATCATACATTTTAACCAAAAGAGCGCTGTACAGTCTCTGTGAGTCAGACCATGTGGATCCTTAAGGTGGAAGGTAACAGGAAAGCAAAGCCAGGGAATATTTAGAGATCACATGCTTAAGATTTATACATATTACACCCTCGTTAGATCTATCAACAGAGAGTACATCAAACTCTTGAAGAGTATTGTTTTTAATAAAGATACCAACCCCTCCAGAGCCTTTTTTAGCTTTGATATGAGTCCTCCTGTTATGTCCAAACCATGTATAACCATTAATGTCAATAGTGTTCTGTCCAATTAAATGGGTCTCATTCAAAGAGATAAAGTTTGGGTCATGACTCAATAAGATACATCGTCTAAGTTCAGAGTTTAGGTCGGTCCATCCATTTACGTTCCAGTGTACAAGCGTGTAGAGCTCACTCACGGGCTGGGCTGCAGACCCTCAGGTAGCCGTGCGCCGCATCGCGCCGCTGTTGCCCCCGCTGGTCCCAGCACCAGCTCCAATGCTGGCTTCGGCACCCGCTCCAGAGCCGGGCCTTCTTCGGATTTTGCCATTTCCCGCAACGTAAAATTGACGACCGAAAGGCAGCTCATCCAGCAAGGTTCTGAAGTTGAGTTCAATAAGCCGCTCCGCGTGCGTCTTACCCGAGCGGATATACACCCGGCTGTACTTTGGGTTGTCTTTGAGGAGCTGTTTCTTACGCAGCACGCTGATTTTCTCCTGTACGGATCCAAATTCCACCTTCACCACTCCCGGACGTCCTCCTCTGTCCTTCAGCCTCTCTGCGTCCACGATCGGTGTGTTCTCCAGCAGTCCCTCGGTGAGTAGCTCCTTCACCAGGCAGGTGACGTTTTCCCCGCTGTTGTAGTTTAGCCCGGTGACAACAATGGACACGTCTGGGTCAAAACGCGTCTTCTCGGAGCGATTGATTTTAGCTTCCATTTGTTCAATCCTCCTTATCAATAGGCTTATATCATTATCCATATTTTGTTGGATGTTAGTTTGGATTTCAGCTGCTTTCAGAGAGAGCTCCTCTTTTAGCCACTCCTTGTTTTCGGACATCATTAATTGCACCGAGTCCCGCAAACTGTCCACTTTAGAATCCAGCTGCTGCTCAAAGGAGAGTTTTAGTGCTTCGATTGTGGCGGTCAACGCCCGTATCTCCAGGACCAGATTACCTGAAGTCTGATCAGGATCTTTGCGCTCCTTTTGCCGCGTGCTTGGTCCCTCGGTGGGCATCTTGAGCACAAACGTTCTTTTTGCAGAAAGAAAGACTGTTTTGATGAAAGTGGGTCAGTTAGCTGTTCCAATGGAACCAAACTTAGCTCAGTAAGAGAGAACACCCAAACGCCGGTGTCCTCTGTCCGCCATCTTGGAATTAGAATATTTCTTAAGTTATTCTTGACAATTTGCATTTCATATCTATCTATCTGGACGCCTCCCTGGGGAGGTGTTCCGGGCACGTCCCACCGGGAGGAGGCCCTGGGGAAGACCCAGGACACGCTGGAGGGACTATGTCTCTCAGCTGGCCTGGGAGCGCCTTGGGGTCCCCCCAGACGAGCTGGAGGAAGTGTGTGTGGATAGGGAAGTCTGGGCGTCCCTGCTTAGACTGCTGCCCCCGCGACCCGGCAACGGATGAAGCGGAAGAAGATGGAATGGAATCTATTCTGTATTGTATATACTGCATTAAATCCACAAAACCATCTTTGACTGAAAGTGATATTTGTGCTGATTTGACTCCAGAGCTAATTAAATAATTAAGGACTAAAAGGATAAAATTACTGAATAAATGAGCCAATTAATAACGTGATGTCCTACACACGTTATCGGTTGTGATTTATTCACTGGTCCCGAAATATTTACTACATGATTGTTTTCTATCCAATTCTCCAATATCAAATAAATAACTTAAGTTATATGTGATGTAGACTTCAATAACCCTACAATATTCTGTCTCATTCTGTCGTCTCCTACATGAAGCGGTCAAATCCATGCTCTGAAACCGGCTCTAAAGCTGTGTTCATACCGCCGATGCATGGACATGTGTAGATGAAGGCATGGACGCACGTTAAATAAATATCAGCTGCATGAGTTTAGTCAATCTGTTGTACTGCCCTGCGTTGGGGAAAAACGTAGCACCGACGAACACGTTAGCAGCACTTGTTTACAGCCGCAGTAGAATGTCAACTTAGGCTGAAGACATATGTTCAAAAGCACTGACCCCCATCCTCAGTCCTGGTTTAGTCGTGGTTTATCTCTTGTTTTGGTTATTTATGAGTGTATTCATATGCCTGTTTGGACCGGAAAATGTCCCTGTGACCACTTTGCTGTTCTGTGATTGGTTTCCACATGTGTGTGGAGCGAGGATGTTCATTTCCTGGTTTCGCTGTATGTATCTAGCCGCTGGACACACCGCCTTTTCTGCGCCGCAACAAGTGCTCGCCATTGACTTTGCATTGAAACTTGCACCAACGCATGATCCGGTCTGAACACAGCTCTAGAGAGAAACCACCGTCTGTAACTGTTACATAAACCACAACAAAAGATCTGACATTTATCTGATGTTTACTGCAGGGTCCTCAGCTGAAGATCATGAAGAATCATGAAGAAAACCAACATCCATCCTCCTCAGAGATGTTTGTCTGAATCTTTATTTCCCTCAGTGTGAAGACCTTCTCCTCGTGTCTTCAGTAGATTCTATGTTGATACGGTTTCTTTACAAAGTTCCACATAACCACAGTCTTTGCTCTGATGAAGGACGAGACTCAGCACCGTCCTACGAATATGTGGTTTAAGTCTCACCTCTGCTCTTCAGGACCATCTTCACTGAAGTTAAGAGGAGCAAGAACCATTTTCCTCCTCCAACACTTTTCAGGGACTGAGAGCTGGGAGCAGGTCCAGGTCTAGGTTTAGACCCGGGGCCAGATCCTTGTGGCTCCATGTTGCAGAGACTGGAGCCACAAGAGTCCCTTTGGTACAGTATATCACATTTACAGTTTCTGAACTTGACTTTTGCTCTGATTGGATTCCACACTCGTCTTGTCATACCGGATTTGGTCCAAATATCTAATTGCGGGTTTTCTGACATTCAGATTGTGGTGAGATTGTGATTGAAAGCTGGATTTGATTTTGAAAGTTGAGAGAAGAATGAAATAGTATGAAGTAGATCATCACCTCTGTTCAACCCACAGGCGTCAAACACGAGGCCTGAGGGTCAAACACGAGGCCCGAGGGTCAAACACGAGGCCCGAGGGTCAAATCCGGCCGCTGCACCATCTTTAGTGGCCCCTGAATGGTCTTTCAATCATTATGATTCACTTGTAGCATTGATTGCTTCCTCCTCCTGCTCTTGCCGAGGTCAGAGGTGTCTCCTCCTGCTCCTGTTCTGCTTGCCCTGACTGTATTTTTTTCCAGAGTTCTGCCTGTGTATGCAACTTGAAAATGATGGAATTAATCAACTGGTCCCTCAATGCAATTGATACTATTTTTTCATCGTGTAAAGGCGGTTCTGAAGATGCCGTTTGTCCGGATGGTACGGCCGCTGCTGGGTACGTTTTTGACAAATGGCAGAAGTGGCACCCCATCTGTCTGCCGGGACTGTCCATCGAGGACATTGAGGATATATAATTTTTTGGATTTATGGTAGCAGGGTTCCTCCTGATTGGATTTGGAGTTGGCCTGATCTACCGCAAAGTTGGAGGGTTATCTACTCAGATTTACGCAGATTTCCACGGAAAGCAAGGAGAATTTTCGAGAGCTGACCAGGGTCGTGGTCGAGAGCGCAGTGGGAACACAAAGGTGTGTGATTCAGGTCGAACATTCCCTTAAAAGATCTGGGAATGAGAGCGATGGAAGGACATAAGCGTTTGGAGGGATTGATTGTAGGACTTGGGCCTCATGGCGGCTCCAACTCTGGAGAACGGTGAACAGAGGGATCCAGTTCCAGTTTTTAATTTGGACTTAATTGGCTTTGAAGTTACACTGCCTGATTTGACCAGCTTAAGTGCTTTACAAATTCTCCCAAAGGCATATGTGTGTTGTTTTGTCTCCCATGTCTGCAGGCACCGCTCTTATCTACTGACCTTCACATTCCACTACCCAAGGCCGAAGATGGACTCTCTCTCATAACTCACAGACTCCCTCAGTACACCAGTTGTTTGACTCACCCCTCCCTCTACGTCTGTCTCTCTCTCCTTCAGTCTACGGTGGTCTTCCCCTCTACCTCCCCCACCCAATCCCCCTCTAACACGCCATATTGGACGAGGTGCGTCAGAGTGACAATGTCCCTCTAAAAAGATCCGTATGCTTTCCCGGATGCACTGTTTCCATCCAATAATGTCTGTTGAAATACAGTGCCTTGCGAAAGTATTCGGCCCCCTTGAACCTTTCAACATTTCGCCACATTTCAAGCTTCAAACATAAAGATATAAAAATTACATTTTTTGTCAAGAATCAACAACAAGTGGGACACAATCGTGAAGTGGAACGAAATTTATTGTATAATTTAAACTTTTTTAACAAATGAAAAACTGAAAAGTGGGGCTGCAATATTATTCGGCCCCCTTGCGCTAATACTTTGTAGCGCCACCTTTTGCTGCAATTACAGCTGCAAGTCGCTTGGGGTATGTCTCTATCAGTTTTGCACATTGAGAGACTGGAATTCTTGCCCATTCTTCCTTGCAAAACAGCTCAAGCTCAGTGAGGTTGGATGGAGAGCGTTTGTGAACAGCAGTCTTCAGCTCTTTCCACAGATTCTCGATCGGATTCAGGTCTGGACTTTCACTTGGCCATTCTAACACCTGGATACGTCTATTTGTGAACCATTCCATTGTAGATTTGGATTTATGTTTTGGATCATTGTCCTGTTGGAAGATAAATCTCCGTCCCAGTCTCAGGTCTTTTGCAGACTCCAACAGGTTTTCTTCCAGAATGGTCCTGTATTTGGCTCCATCCATCTTCCCATCAATCTTCCCTGTCCCTGCTGAAGAAAAGCAGGCCCAAACCATGATGCTGCCACCACCATGTTTGACAGTGGGGATGGTGTGTTCAGGGTGATGAGCTGTGTTGCTTTTACGCCAAACATATCGTTTTGCATTGTGGCCAAAAAGTTCGATTTTGGTTTCATCTGACCAGAGCACCTTCTTCCACATGTTTGGTGTGTCTCCCATGTTTGGTGTGTCTCCCAGGCTTTGGCTTGTGGCAAACTTTAAACCAGACTTTTTATGGATATCTTTGAGAAATGGATTTCTTCTTGCCACTCTTCCATAAAGGCCAGATTTGTGCAGTGCACGACTGATTGTTGTCCTATGGACAGACTCTCCCACCTCAGCTGTAGTTATCTGCAGTTCATCCAGAGTGATCATGGGCCTCTTGGCTACATCTCTGATCAGTCTTCTCCGATCAGTCTTCTCCTTGTTTGAGATGAAAGTTTGGAGGGACGGCCGGGTCTTGGTAGATTTGCAGTGGTCTGATACTCCTTCCATTTCAATATAATTGCTTGCACAGTGTTCCTTGAGATGTTTAAAGCTTGGGAAATCTTTTTGTATCCAAATCCGGCTTTAAACTTCTCCACAACAGTATCTCGGACCTGCCTGGCGTGTTCCTTTGTCTTCATGGTTCTGTAGGGTGAGAAAATGTCGATATCACACATAACTTAAGTTATGTACCTGATATCGGAGAATTGGATAAAAAACAACCATGTAATAAATACAATAATTGATAATAGCTTTATTTAGGGGCACCAGGGAATAACTCCCAACTGATAACGTGCATATAACGTCACAATATCAATTAATTGGCTCATTTATTGATTCAGTAATATCATGAGTCCTTTCATTATTTAATTAGCTAGTTAGTCCAATTCTCTTCAATAGAATCTGAAGGTAGTGAATTCTTTTATAAATCAGTGACCCAGTTTCTGGAGTTAAAAGTACAAATATCACTTTCAGACAGAGGCAGTTTTGTAGATTTAATGAAGTATACACAATACAGACTAGATATGAAATATGCAAATTGTCAAGAATAACATGAAGGAAACGTTGATTTCAAGATACATTGTTAAAATGCTAGGCTAAGGTGAGCTTAGCAAGGCCTTTGTCTATGAATGGATTGGTATAGGCTGAGGCCTGCATGTGTTCAGCCTTGGTAAGAGAAGTATTCTTTGAAGTGTAGGTTTTAAAAAAGCCAACAACTGTGTGTAGCAAGAAAGCAGATCATACAACCAGAATAGCCTTTGGTGAATAGCAGTCCTTGGGTCTTGATGGTGTTGGATGGAGGCTTCTTGTCCACGGGGCATGGACCATGCGGCTGCATCATGTGGCTGAACCAAGTCCTCCCACAGTCTAGGTGCCAAAACTCAGCAACTTCTTCAGGTTGAAGCTGGAGGCTATTGAAGGGTTGTGGAAGTCCTCTCAAACGTGGAGCTGAGGTTTGAGGCCATCTAAGAGGCCCAAAGCCCCTTGGTTGCCTGAGCAGAGCCCAGGGCAGAGCCCATGGAGGTCTGGTCACTCCCTGGTTCCAAAGCAGCCTGGTTTGTCTTCCCTGTGGGTCCTTGTAAGTCTTCACATCTTGTAGAGTCGTTGGGGGAAGGGTGTTGCCATGGCACTTATCTTAAGACATTCTTACCCACAATAAAACCTGAACCACAAGGATTTACACACAGTGGAGACAGAAGTTATAATATGTCTCAATATACACCAAATTGTCTTTGATTGAGGAAAGAGGTCATTTTAATTTCTCCTACAGTTCTCTCTGCGCTTTAAACAGAACCATGAGACTATCAAAGAGCCGGTGTTTTTTTCGAACGGACTGAAGTGAAACTATCGAACGTTCTATCAACCCCGTTTTCTATTGATATCGAACACGTGTCTATCGCAATATATATCGTTATCGTTTTATCGCCCAGCCCTAGTTATTATGGCATGTTATGTAATATATCTCAGTTTCCACACAAACAGTAACTGAACTAATTTTGTTCAGAATAAAATAACAGAATTAAGATCCAATTTCTCTTCATTAAATAAAAACATACAGAACCTTTCAACATTTCGCCACATTTCAGGCTTCAAACATAAAGATATAAAATTTACATTTTTTGTCATGAATCAACAACAAGTGGGACACAATCGTGAAGTGGAACGAAATTTATTGGATAATTTAAACATTTTAACAAATAAAAAACTGAAAAGTGGGGCGTGCAATATTATTCGGCCCCTTTACTTTCAGTGCAGCAAACTCACTCCGGCACGGTGGCTGAGTGGATAGCACTCTCGGCGCAAGAAGGTCCTGGGTTCGAATCCCGGTTGGACCAGGGCCTTTCTGAGTGGAGTTTGCATGTTCTCCCCGTGTCTGCGTAGGTTTCCTCCGGGTACTCCGGTTTCCCCTACCACTAAAAATATGTCCAATAGTTCTGGCATGCGCTTCCTGTACTGGCGACCCCGCTCCCATCTCTGTGTGGAGTCAGAGACAAATGCCCAAAAATTAACAATTGTAAACCGCTTTGAGACTCAGATCTGCAGTGAAAAGGCGGTATATAAATAAAAACTTACTTACTTACTAACTCCAGAAGTTCAGTGAGGATCTTTGAATGATCCAATGTTGTCCTAAATGACTGATGATGATAAATAGAATGCACCTGTGTGTAATCAAGTCTCCGTATAAATGCACCTGCTCTTTGATAGTCTCAGGGTAGTCTCAGGCGCAGAGAGAACCATGAAGACAAAGGAACACACCAGGCAGGTCCGAGATACTGTTGTGGAGAAGTTTAAAGCCGGATTTGGATGCAAAAAGATTTCCAAAGCTTTAAACATCTCAAGGAGCACTGTGCAAGCAATTATATTGAAATGGAAGGAGTATCAGACCACTGCAAATCTACCAAGACCCGGCCGTACCTCCAAACTTTCATCTCAATCAAGGAGAAGACTGATCAGAGATGCAGTCAAGAGGCCCATGATCACTCTGGATGAACTGCAGATAACTACAGCTGAGGTGGGAGAGTCTGTCCATAGGACAACAATCAGTCGTGCACTGCACAAATCTGGCCTTTATGGAAGAGTGGCAAGAAGAAAGCCATTTCTCAAAGATATCCATAAAAAGTCTGGTTTAAAGTTTGCCACAAGCCACCTGGGAGACACACCAAACATGTGGAAGAAGGTGCTCTGGTCAGATGAAACCAAAATCGAACTTTTTGGCCACAATGCAAAACGATATGTTTGGCGTAAAAGCAACACAGCTCATCACCCTGAACACACCATCCCCACTGTCAAACATGGTGGTGGCAGCATCATGCTTTGGGCCTGCTTTTCTTCAGCAGGGACAGGGAAGATGGCTAAAATTGATGGGAAGATGGATGGAGCCAAATACAGGACCATTCTGGAAGAAAACCTGTTGGAGTCTGCAAAAACGGGCGGCACGGTGGCTGAGTGGATAGCACTCTCGCCTCTCAGCAAGAAGGTCCTGGGTTCGAATCCCGGTCGGACCAGGACCTTTCTGAGTGAAGTTTGCATGTTCTCCCCGTGTCTGCGTAGGTTTCCTCCGGGTACTCCGGTTTCCCCTACCACTAAAAATATGTCCAATAGTTCTGGCATGTGCCTCCTGTACCGGCGACCCTGCTCACATCTGTGTGGAGTGAGAGACAAATGCCCAAAAAAAAATTTACAATTGTAAACCGCTTTGAGACTCAGATCTGCAGTGAAAAGGCGGTATATAAATAAAAAAGATAAAAAAGACCTGAGACTGGGACGGAGATTTATCTTCCAACAGGACAATGATCCAAAACATAAATCCAAATCTACAATGTAATGGTTCACAAACAGACGTATCCAGGTGTTAGAATGGCCAAGTCAAAGTCCAGACCTGAATCCAATCGAGAATCTGTTCACAAACGCTCTCCATCCAACCTCACTGAGCTCGAGCTGTTTTGCAAGGAAGAATGGGCAAGAATTCCAGTCTCTCGATGTGCAAAACTGATAGAGACATACCCCAAGCGACTTGCAGCTGTAATTGCAGCAACAGGTGGCGCTACAAAGTATTAGCGCAAGGGGGCCGAATAATATTGCACGCCCCACTTTTCAGTTTTTTATTTGTTAAAATTTTTTAAATTATCCAATAAATTTCGGTCCACTTCACAATTGTGTCCCACTTGTTGTTGATTCTTGACAAAAACATTTTTTTTATATCTTTATGTTTGAAGCCTGAAATGTAGCGAAATGTTGAAAGGTTCAAGGGGGCCGAATACTTTCGCAAGGCACTTTATATATACAGTATATATATATATATATATATATATATATATATATATATATATATATAAAAAAAAATGAGTTTCACAGCTCTGGCTTTCACCTCAGACGCTCACTCAGAACATGTTAGAAACCATTGGTTAACATGACAAAATGTTACACGCGTCTTCTGCACATAGAAAGCGTACGTGCTGTAACGCATCCTGTGAAAATTAGCACTCACTCAGAACACATATATGTTGTGTCCTCTACACTCTCAGCAACATGTCTGAGGAAAGGGACTAGTTGTTTATTTTTGAATGCGCTGGAAACAGCAGCAAGTCCCAAGTAGCTCTGACAGTAGACACAAACACAGGAGATACGAAGCATTAATCTCTTGAAGTTTAAAAAGAGCAATATCTAAAAATCTGGCTAAAAGGTGGTATTGCAATCACGGTTGATATTCTGTAGTCCTTTCCCACTCTCCCTGACTCAGGTTGCCAGATATGCAGACGAATCCAGCTGGGACCAAAACATCTGAATAGACAAGAGTTTTGTCAACAACAAATCTATAACCAACACCTTTTTCACAAAGATAGAAATCCTGGTTTTATTCCTTGTTTTCTCATTAATGATTTGAGAATCATAACGAGACATTTTTTAGTTCTGCGCCACATGGTACTTTACCAGTGAGATTAGAACCAGTGAGATTAGCTCGATGCAGTGCGCTCTGGTAACCCGGATCACAGACTTTCTGATTGGTGAAATGGTTGCGGGTGGGATATCGAATTAAAAACAATATAAAGATTTAGGGGCTGTAAAACTATATTTTAAATTCGATTATCTCTGAACTACTGTTTAAATATGTAACATTTTTAAAACTCACTTCAATGTAAAGGAGTTCTCAACTAAAGGGGTTCTGTTCATCAGTGTGAAAACCCGCTCCTCGTGTCTTCAGTAGATTCTACATTCATCCCGAGTTCAAATAATTTGACCAACACTGGTTTTAAGTCTCACCTCTGCTCTTCAGGACATTCTTCATTAAACACGGGACCTTCCTCTTTGGACTGGTCACTTTTCACAGAGACAGAGCTGGGAGCAGGTCCAGGTCTGGGTCCAGGTTCAGGTTTAGACCTGGGATCAGATCCTTGTGACTCCATGTTGCAGAGGCTGGAATCAGAACAAGATTTGGACTTAGAATTGATTAGTATTGAGAATAGTGACTAGTTTTCTAACCGTCATTTTATTTCTATGGTCACATCTCGACTGGTCACATCTTCTCCTCACGTTAAGCTACTTAGAAACCTGAACATTGTTCTTCACTCTGTTTCATTCACATTCAACACAGACGTTCTACACAGATGCAAACAGAACTAAACTAATTTGAAGTGAACAGGCATAAGTCAGTCTCCCAAAGGATACGGTCTTTTTTGTTCCTGAGGGAAACAAGTGCAAATAGTTCATTAAAACAGGTTTGATCCAGTTTAGAAAATCAGTGAAACGTCTTTACTTCCTGTAGGAACAGGTTCAAACTGAGCTGTTCCGACGACACTAAGAGCTAAGGTTAGGATTATATATGAGACAGTGTTATCGACGTAAACGCACGTTTACACTGAAGGACACGTCACTGTTATTTCAATGTGAATGATCAGAAATACTCACGTCAGCCTGAACTCTGCTTTGGAGACTTAGGTTTTACTCTAATTACTGAACATTTATTCAAATACGTTGTAGCAGGTTCATCTTAAATACAGAAACATGTGAAGACTGTCTCTCTATGTCAACGACAGCTCAAGACCTGCACTTTCATAATTACTTTTAACAATACATTAAAACAATTTAACTTCCCAACTTCTTAAACCGTGCTACAGAACCACAGTCTTTGCTCTGATGAAGGACTGTCTTAAGAACATGTGTTTTAAGTCTCACCTCTCCTCTTCAGGACGATCCTCTCTAAAGTCTGGGGGAAAGGCAGTGGAGTGGTCCCTTTTCAGAGACACAGAGCTGGGAGCAGGTCCAGGTCTGAGTCCAGATTCAGTCTCGGGGCCAGATCCTCGTGACTCCATGTTGTAGAAGCTATATCAGAACAAGAATTCATGAGAAGACTTTTCCTCCACAGGTTTTGGATTTGATTGGACGTCAGACTTGTGTTCTGCAGCTCGTGACCCTGTACTGTGTGATTTCTGTGTGAATTATCACTGTGTGATAATTGCATACAATATATAACATGGAACCAAATAGAAAACTGTTTAAATATTATCCCTTCAATTGTGTTGTAGGTTCTCTTGCGCAGGGTCCGTCAGCAGAGAGAACCTTCTAAACAGATGCTCCTATAGCATGAAAGATGGCCGACAATGCAGCTGCCGGTCACAACTCTGCTCCAGTTTTCAAACGCTCTCTCTTGAAACCAGAGATATACAAAACAACTGATGGGAAAACTATTGTTGAAGATGAACTGCTCAATTTCCTTTGTGTAAAAATGAAGATTATGAGCCAGGATGAGATTGTTATTCTGGCTATTAACAAAAATGGAGCAGATGGCCGCAGAAGTTGGCGCTTTAAAGCAAATTATGAATTCACACGTCAGCATTGCTAGTGATCTGCAACCGGGTGTGCTCCCTGGAGCGGGAGCGCAATGAGCGGGCCTGGCCCGCTAACGTGGATGTAGCAGCTGTCACGAGGCAGCTATGCCTCTTGTGTCTGCTGTGAAAGAGGTCCTGACCCATGGGGAGCAAAGTACGGCGGAGACAGCGACTCCGACAGTACCGGCTCTGGAGGTGGATGCAGGGACAGCTGCGGTGAGGAGTTTACTGGGGCAACAGTCGCCAAAGTGGAGTAAAGTTGTGAAGAGGAGCCGGCGCGCAATAACCGATGAAGCTAATGCAGTACGCACGGGACAGGGGAGGAAGCCACGGGCCACCAAGCCTATTGTTGGCACTGGGACTGTGGGCAGCATCCGAACCATACAGACCAAACTGGTGAGTGTGTTTGCTTCTCCATTTTCACCTGATCTGGAGGATATAACATTAGCGGACTATTTAAAGAACAAACTCAACCGGGATGTATCATGCCAAAAGATTCAGTTCATTTAAAATATCTGCGGAGTGTAATGACGTGAATGAGATGTATGACCCTGATCTGTGGCGAGTGGGTGCACTCGTTCGGCGGTACTATGAGCCGCGTCGTGTGGGGTACAACAGGGGTGCGCTAGGCGCAGGTGACCCCGCGGGCAGTGCACGCAATGGCACCGCTGTGGTACCCTAAAATGCAGCTATGGATTTACGTCTTCTCTCCTATAACTGTCGGGGCCTGCGGCTTGGAAACAGTGCTGCAGATAAAGCTCGTCGCTTGGTTGTCAATGGACTTTTACAAAATTGCGACATACTGTGTTTGCAAGAGACTTTTTTTTATCTCAACAAGACTTGCAAAAGCTGAATTCGTTTAATGAGTATTTATTTTAATTTTATTATCAACACTTTTTTTGCTTTTGAATTCTATAAACTAACAAAAAAGTATTCAGTGTAAATAAATTCAATGTTTTAAAATTCAGTGTCAAAAAATTCAATGTTGAAAAAAATTCAGTGTCAAAAAATTCAATGTTGAAAAAAATTCAGTGTCCAAAAATTGGTCGCTTTTTTTTTCGCTGCTTGAAATGTCATGCTTTAGTTCCGGGTAAATCAAGACAGAAGCAATCGATCGGCCAATCCTCAATAGATGTAGCCGGGGCCAGAACTGAATTGTGAGTGAGTGACTGAGTGAGTGGACTCATTCTGATGGCGATTCGGACGTTGCACACTATTATCAGGCCGTGCTGTTGTACGTGAGCGTCCCGCTGTAGCGTGGATCACGGAGAGAGGAGCGGCCATGATGAGGTAAAGGTAAAAGTTTAATTTACGTTTTAATTAGGACATAACATTTAATTTGCCTGAAGCCCACACTGAAAGATCAAATCTCCTGTGGACTCACCACCTGCAGGAGAATCAGTGAGGGGCTGGTGCTCTGTGACTGGTTAAACAGATTTTCTTTGGACTTTTCCTCCAGCCTTGAGCTCCAATGCTAACACGTTAATCACGGGTGTAGAGCTGCGCTTATGCCCAGAATGGAGCGTCATGCGCTGGGAGTCATTTTGAGAGCTCCCTTATGCTAACAGTCTTAACTGTGGAAGTAATTATGAAAACCCAAAAAGGCAACTTTTGTATCATACTCTCTGTTATAACAATTGTTTTAAGAGTAATCATAAGTCTTAAAAATGTGATCCATCCATTTTCTTCCCCTTAATCCATTTCTGGGTCGGGGGGGTGGCCAGAGATGCCACCCAGTTCACAGAGCACCAGCCCCTCACTGATCCTCCTGCAGGTGGTGAGTCCACAGGAGCTGAGATCTTTCAGTGGGAGCTTCAGGCAAAGTGGGGTTAAGTGTCTTGCCTAAGGACACAACGACAGCAGTCACCAGTGGGAGTCGTGAAGAAGGATATGTGATATTTCATGTAAATAATGCATGTGTTTAGTGCGATTGATGGATTTGCTATGGCCCTCTTTTGTGCATCACTTTGTTGTAAAGTAATTTGTATTAAGTACAAACGTGATTATGTGCAGCGGGACATCTGTGAACATGAAGCTGGACACAGAAGACGCGTGGACTTGAACTTACAGACCAGATTTAAGGTCATGAGTACTTACTTTTTGAGCACAAGCTCCTTGCCTCTTGAAATCCAACAGACCTGATCATGTCAGAGTTAATGGCTTAAATGTATTTAAGATTAGAAGTAGTACTTAAATACAAGCTATGAAACATGTTTCTCACGGATTGTGTGGTTGGATAAAAAAACACATACATCACTTTTCATTGCACACAAAGAACTAAATCATAATTATTTTATTTTATTCCAGGTTGTGATGAGTCTACCGTAGAAAAGACAGTCAGAGGCAGACGTCCAGGCACCTGTTGTTACTGCTGCTGCTGTTGTTACTGCTGTTACTGCTGCTGCTGTTGTTACTGCTGCATATGTCTTCAGAAAATGAGAGATGTGTTCTAACTATCCATGACTTGTAATTAATAAACAAATGAACATATTGGTTGTTGTAGTTTATATCGTAATCCACAGGAGCTGGAGGTGATGGAAATGGATGAAAAAATGATGCCTCTGGAAGACAGCTGCCTCTGGAAAAGAAATTCACACAAAAAATCATTAATTAATCGGTTCTTCTGGGATTAAAATCAGCCTTTTGTTACAATCAGACATGTCGACATATGTGTTTATATACATGTACTGTCCCAGTCAAATTAAAACAAATACACAGTAGTAGAGTAGAAACAGACGCTCTGAGGAGGAGCAGAAGTACGATGCCTTTACAAACACACACATGAACTTAACAGGTCATATCAACAGTAAATGTAAATACATTGCCAGTCTTTAACAGGAGGCAGGTAGAGTGGGATATACAAATATACTCAATTAAAACCATATCTATCAGTCTGATTCCACTCTGTAGCATTAATATTGAATCCATGGGTTCGTTTTCTCCCTAAAGAACCGATCCTTCATTCCATCTTGGTTTCACTAAGATGTCAACATTTAAGAGTAAAGATAGAATAATTATCGTGCTCTGTCTCTAAACAGTCAGCAGGTTTCGTCCTTGTTGCACTGCTAGAATAATATACACATTGAAATTGGGAACATAGTACATATGTCACACAAGAACCTCAAACCCCCATGTACTTGGCTTTCCTGCGGTTCATTTTAGCTTAGCATTAGCGAAGATCAGCTTTGAAGCCACCTACGCGGAGCTAGCTAATGATAAGCTAAGGTAAAAACATGTACATACAGTAGTGGTTTGCGTGTTACATACCAACTAATGATGAGAAAACACACTTACTGGTTTGCTGTGGACGCCATGTTCAGATGAACAAGTCAGTCATGTTCTGGCCCTGGCTACATCTACTGTATGGAGGATGGGCTGATCGATTGCTTTGTTCTTGATTTACCCGTAAATAAAGCATGACATTTCAAGCAGCGAAAAAAAATGCTACGAATTTTTTGACACTGAATTTTTTTCAACATTGAATTTTTTGACACTGAATTTGAAAACATTTAATTTATTTACACTGAATACTTTTTTGTTACAGTTTATAGAATTCAAAAGCACAAAAAAGTGTTGACAATAAAAACACAAAATAACCTTCATAGCTGGTGAGTCCACCACTGATTTTAACAGGGGTATACACATTTTCGCGTGACGTCAGCACATGACCTAGCAACGCGCGCCGCCATTTCAAGAGGGGTATGCTTTTGCTTGACAACCGCCAATACCGCCAATGACCGCTGACAACACAAAGGAGATCTTGCAGTCTGGCAGATTTTTATTATACAATGCCCAAATCCTGTGTAGTATTTGGCTGTCATAAACACGCCTGGCAGAACGAAAAGATATCATTTTACAGAATACCTACAGAAAAAGGCCAGAAACGGAAATTGTGGATCCAAGCACTGAGGCGAACGAACGACGATGGAACTACATGGAGCCCAAAGTCGAAGTGGTCGTATGTCTGCAGTAGACATTTCGTTAATGGTAAGTTGTGAATTTTGGGGATCTAATTTCTTCCTGACTGATTTTATGACATAGATTATGAAATCGTAATTCATTCAGTAATGACTGCAATTCCTATGGTTAGTTAGCTAGCTAGGGCTAGGCTAATTAGAGGGCTTTCATGACGGGTTTACGTACACAACTATCAATCAATCAAGTTTTATTTCTAAAGCGCCTTACAACAACCAAGTTGACCAAAGCGCTGCACACAATAAAAATAAAAATACAATATAAAAAGGAGTACAATTTCATTAGTAAGTAAGTAAGTAAGTTTGTATTTATATACCGCCTTTTCACTGCAGATCTGAGTCTCAAAGCGGTTTACAATTGTTAATTTTTGGGCATTTGTCTCTCACTCCACACAGAGATGGGAGCGGGGTCGCCAGTACAGGAGGCGCATGCCAGAACTATTGGACATATTTTTAGTGGTAGGGGAAACCGGAGTACCCGGAGGAAACCTACGCAGACACGGGGAGAACATGCAAACTCCACTCAGAAAGGCCCTGGTCCGGCCGGGATTCGAACCCAGGACCTTCTTGCTGAGAGGCGAGAGTGCTATCCACTCAGCCACCGTGCCGCCCATTAAAAAACAGACCATTATCACATTCACAACAGTTGCCACAGAACTATGTGTCAAATGCCTCTTTAATCAGGTGAGTCTTTAGCTTCGCTTTGAACAGGGGCAGGTTTGAAACGGCACGTAACTCAAGCGGCAACGAGTTCCAGAGTTTTGGACCTGCCACAGCAAAAGCCCGATCACCCCACCTTTCGTGTTGTCCAATGTCCGTGGTAAATAGCGGTTGTCAAGTAAAAGCATACCCCTCTTAAAATGGCGGCGGGCGTTGCTAGGTCAAGTGTCCCGGATGCTGATGTCACCGCGAAAAGATGTATTGTCATGGGTAGAATAGCAGGGGGTGTGGCAACTCTGGAGAAAGTCTCTTGAAACATGCTTTAAAGTTGTCAGACTTGTAGTTGACTGGTGTATTGGTCTACATTTTACTTGTGATGATAAAGAATTTATAATAGTTAATGTCTACACTCCGTATGAGTGTAAACAAAATTAAGATGCATTTTAAAGAAGAACAGGCTGTAAAACAGTTGCAGTTCATTCAAAATGCAGCAGCTCGAGTCCTGACTAGAACCAGGAAGTACGACCACATTAGTCCTGTTCTCAGGTCTCTGCACTGGCTTCCTGTGGCTCAGAGAATAGACTTTAAAACAGC